TGTGTGTGTATGTGTGTGCATATATGTGTATGTATGTGTGTGCATGTATGTGTGTGTATGTGTGTGCATGTATGTGTGTGTGTATGTGTGTGCATGTGTGTATGTGTGCGTGTGTGTGTGTGTGTGCAGGCACTTCTGGGGAGGAGTCCCTAGTTTTGTTAGACTCTGAGTGTGACCACATGGTTCCCACTTGAGGACAAATGGATAGAGAGCAGGATCGCCTTCTTTTAGAAGACAAATGGGAAGAACCCATTTATGAGGCAGGGCTCCCCTGAAGCTGTGACCCCTGTTTTCCCTGCCTGGTGCCTGCAGCCCTCGGTCCCAGACAAGTTCTACCCTCTTCCGAGAATACTCCACACCCATGTGAGTCCTGCTTCGCCTCCCAGCTCTGCTGCTTGCCAGCTGTGTGACCTTGGGCAAGGCACTCACTCTCTCTGTTCCCTCATATGTAAAACGGAGATAATAGTAGAGTCTGCCATGCCAGGTGGTTGTGAGGATTAAGCAAGTTATTCCAATGGAAGCGTCCAGCATGGCACCTGCCACAGTGTGAGAGCACAAAATTGGGTGGTTTTTACCCACCCACCTCTGTCCCTGTGCCCAGCAAAATCAGCCTCGTACTCATTGTGGGAAAAGGGGCTGCAGATTTGTGCCTCCCTCACCCAAGCACCTCCAGCAGGATGGTCCCGCTCTCTGGGGAAGCTGTTCTGGAGGAGAGTGCATGCCAGCGGGGGCATCATCTCCCCACGTCACAGCCCCACAGGGCAGGCGTCCAGCTGCTGATGGACTTTAGGAAAGATGACACTCCCAGCTGCTTCTGCATCTGGTCCTGTAAGTGACGGTCACGCCTAAGGCCAGCCCTGCCTCTGCCTCTGGTTTCCATGTTACCTTAACATTGTCATAGCCAAGAAATCCCAACATTTGCCCGGTGCCATAGGCGATGCTGATGGGCCGGCCTGAGACCCGGAACGTGGAGGATAGCAGAGAGTTGAAGGTATTGTGGTTAGCTGCAGATACAGGGGTAGGCGTCTGTCAGGCCTGCTGGGGACCGAAGAGAAGGTGCTGGGAGGATATGAGATGGGGGAGGGAGCACTCACTGCAGGCTTGGCTGGCACAGTAGATGGAGGGCACCCACAAGTCAGTGAAGCCTGTGTCCACAATGACCTTGAATTCCTGAGGCGGTGTTCCAATGGTGATGATGCTAATGTAGGCCAGCTGCCAGGACCAGGGAGGGATGGTGAGGGAAGGCCTGGCATCCTGGCCATGCCCCTGGTTCCCAGGGTGCCTGCCCTCATCAGGCATTCCGTGTTTCCTGAAATCACTTTCCAACAGCCCCACCACACAGCTTCTGCTCAAGCCACCACCTTCATTTGAGAAGCTCTCCAGTGTTCCCCACAGCTCTCCAAATCCTTTCCACCCTTGTAGACCTGGTCTGAGTGCCTCCTCCTCCAGGCAGCCCTCCTAGGTTGCCCAGGCCACTGTGCTCTTTCCTTCCTTTAAACTCAAATCACATAATATTAATACCACACAGTTGGTCCTCTTATCTGACATTTACTTACTTTTGCCTATTTCTCTGGGTGGGCTATGAGTTCTTGAAGAAGAGATGAGACCTTTGGTTATATAAGTAACAATAACCATATTGTTAGTTTATCATAGCATCCCGCACCACAGGGACTCAAAAACTTAAAATTTTTTTTAGAGTCAGAGTCTCTCTCTTTTGCTCAGGCTGGAGTGCAGTGGCATGATCATAGCTCACCACAGCCTCGACCTCCTGGGCTCCAGCAATTCTCCCACCTCACCCTCCCAAGTAGCTGGAACTATAGGTGCACACCACCACACCCAGCTAACATTTAAAACTTCTTGTAGCGACATGGTCTCGCTATGCTGCCCAGGCTGGTCTCAAATTCCTAGCCTCATGGGATCCTCTTGCCTTGGCCTCCCAGAGCGTTGGGATTACAGACATTAGCCACTGCATCTGGCCTCAATAACTTTTTTATTGGTTTGATTCTTGGGACTGAAAAGGCTAAACTTTTTTGTTGTTGTTGAGATGGAGTCTCACTCTGTTGCCCAGGCTGGAGTGCAGTGGTGCGATCTTGGTTCACTGCAACTTCCATCTCCTGGGTTCAAGTGATTCTTGTGTCTCAGCCTCCTGAGTAGCTGGGATGACAGGCATGCACCACCATGCCCAGCTAATTTTTGTATTTTTAGTAGAGATGGGGTTTCACCATGTTGGCCAGGCTGGTCTTGAACTCCTGACCTCATGTAATCCACCTGCCTCGGCCTCCCAAAATGCTGGGGTTATAGGCGTGAGCCATTGTGCCTGGCCTAAACTTCTACATAGGGTGTCAAACTTGATTTGCAGTTTTCTTTGTTGTCATTTGATCAGACATGGATTGCCCTTCAATGTGGTTCCTTTAGCTCAGTGATTAGCCTTAGTTCAGAAAGGGCAAAGCTCCCATAACAAGCACTGTCTTGGTTCAAGGGTGCCCAGTGACACTATCACTGGCACAGAAATGGATGCTATCTAGCACCTGGTCATTGCTGGGCCCAGTCACTATGGACCAACAACAGAGGGCAGGAATGCTTTCTCCTCTGGAAAGGGGTCGTGTTCCCCGGTCGTGTTCCCCACTCTCTGCTGAAGCCCCAGCGCTAACCCGCTGGCTCACAGCCCCAGATGAGCCCCAGTGCTTGCTAGGGGCCCTAGGGGGCGCTCTGGAGCTCCAACCTGCCCGCATACTCACATCCAGGTAGTTCCTCACGGGTTCCAGAGATATTCCATTGTCCTGATATTGATCAAGAAACTTATAGGCCAGGCTGTAAGGATATTTCTCAAGATAATCTTTCAGCATGTCATTTTCCCGGAGGTTTTCTCGAATGGATTTGATCTTCATCAGAGGGATTCTTCAACCGAGGATTGGGAAGGGAAACAAGTAAGAGACAGTCATCGGCTGCTCCTTGCTATAATGTGACTGTCACACTTTGCACTGTAATTACACCGTGCATTTTCCAAGCTTTTTAATGATTGTTATCTTATTATCAGGAAAAGACACCCAATGCAAAGGAAAGACCGCGGCAGTGGATCTAGGTTTAATTCCAGGTTCTATTGTGTCATCTTGGGCAGGTCATATGATCTTTCTGAGCCTCCGTTTCCCTATCTATCTATAAAAAAGATGGAATGATGATACCCTCCCTAGCATAGAATGTTTGGAGGTGTTAAGTGAGACAGTGCCATATAGCAGGTCCTGACAGTGACAGCCCTTCCTATTGCTAATGCCATCTCAATGTCTCTTTCTCGGGCAGCCCTGGGAGGGCGGTAGAGGGGGAATCATTATCTTCTTTTTATAGGGAAGGAATCTGAAATGCAGGGACTTTGTGACTTGGCTCTGGTTACACTGCTTGTTAGTGGCAAACCTGGGCCTAGAAGTAGCCCTCCTGATCTCTCCAGGGTTCAATCAGAAGAAAGGGGTGAGAGAGGAAGCCAGGAAGTGAGAAAAGTCATGAATGCTGAGATGGGGAATAAAGTGGGGAAAGAAGAGAGTAGAGAAACAAGAATGAGTCAAAACAGAAACACAGAGTTTTGCATATACAGAGACACCCAAAGAGACAGAGAGCTAAAAGAGAGAGATGCAGAGACAGAGGTGTAGCCACAGAGACACATATATAAGGAAACAGAGAGGGAGTAGAGAGAAAACCTAGAAAATTGCACAGAAGAAATTCTGTTTCTAGGTGGGACCACATGTACAGCTGCACAGGTTGGGCACTGAAAAATTCTAGGGAGTCCCATTCACATAGCCCATGATGTGACTGGTGCCCCTGGAATTGTGCAGCTCTGCAGACCTGCCCCAAGACCTTTCGGCCTCACAGCACACATGGCTATTCATCAATAAATGGAGACTTGAATTTTATATGAGCATCAGAGAATGATTACATTTCCTTCCCCATCCCTGCACTGGAAGGAGAATAAGAGGCAAGAGAAGAAGAGGGCAAGAAGGAGCCCATAGAGACAGCTGATGTCACGTGTCTCATACTTACTTGACCAAGCATTCTGAGAGAGCCACCAACCCGAGGATCATAAGCCACTTCATACTTCCTTCGTGGGTTTAAAGCACTCAGGAAAGAGTGAATTCTGAGCATGCAGTGGCTGTCAAGAGGAGCTCATTTAAATGCACTCTGATCTGCCCTAGTCATCCCCTTGGGGGCCAGTACGGACTCGATAAGAAATACAAACCTTCCTGATAAAGTTTTCGCCTGCTTCCTGTTTGTGAGGAGGGGACCTAGAAAATTCTCAGAATACAGAGGTTTCTATTCTAATCTCTTCCTTGGGGCATGGCTGAAAAAACAAAAATAAACCATACGGGGAACAAAGAGTGGGGAGACTCTTGCTATCTTGGAGATAAAGGCACTGAGCATAATGTGATAAAAATAAGTGTTAGATGCTATGCTTGACATTTGTGATCTCATGCAGTCTTCCCAGTGACCCTGTGAGGTGTGCATTGCTGTCCTCATCCGGGAGGGGATTGCTAGGAGGAAGAGAGGTCAAATCACAGAGTGAAAGTGTTGGGAGCGGCCCACTGACTTATGAGTGGATTTAGGTAGTGGGATGGCACACAGCAGGGCCACTTATGCTGCCAATCTGCTTCAAAGAGCCAGGCTAGAGCAGTATGACCATCGCACAATTTTAATATTGGAAGAAATGTGACGCATGCAACCCAAAAATATTGTTTGTATCCAGTAGACATTTATTGAGGACCTGCTGTGTGCTGGAGAGCGGGATAGATGCTGGGAAATCAAAGTCAAATGAGACATGAGCAGGCCTTGCCTTCAGGGAGTTTGCAGTCTGGAGTTTGCAGGCAGGAATCACAAGCTGGAGACCCAGTCAGCAAAGGAAACAAAGGGAAGGGCTGGGTGGGCATCTCGGGCACGGGCGCTACTGTCTCCCCACAAGGGGGCAGCCTCTTCTCCGTTCCACCAGCAGTTGCCACACTGGCAGGCGGACTGTGATGCCAGGTTGGCCAAGTTTTTAAGATGTGCAAGTGGGAAAAACTCAAATTGCGTTTCTCTTACTACACTCTTTTTTTTTTTTTCCTTCCTTTCTTTTGAGACGGAGTCTTGCTGTCGCCCAGGCTGGAGTGCAGTGGTATGATCTTGGCTCACTGCAACCTCAGCCTCCAGGGTTCAAGTGCTTCTCCTACCTCAGCCTCCCTAGTAGCTGGAATTACAGGCATGCACCACCATGCCCGGCTAATTTTTGTATTTTTAGTAGAGCTGGAGTTTCACCGTGTTGGCCAGGCTGGTCTCGAACTCCTGACCTCAGGTGATCTGCCTGCCTTGACCTCCCAAAGTGCTGAGATTACAGGTGTGAGCCGCCACGCCTGGCCTTTCTTACTACACTCTTGTGACATGTTTCTTACACCAGATGCGTGGGGCTTTTCTCCCAACCAACAAGCTCACAGTCAACTCTGCAGGAGACACCAGCCGGCTGTCCTCCAATTCAATTCTGACACCATCCACCTGGGGCTAGCATCAGATCCCACAGGTTGAGGGCTCAGTCTCATGAGACTGGGCCCCACTTCCAATGCCAAGTGCAAGCCCCAGGTTGTTTGACCTGTGCTTCTGACCAACTGGCCGTAAGTCGGGGGTTCCCAAGACCCCCTCTTTGGGTTCAATTAATTTGCTAGAGCAGCTCTTGGAACTCAGGGAAACATTTACTTACATTTACCTGTTTACTATAAAGGGTATTACAAAGGATACAGATGAAGAGCTGCATGGTGGGAGGTATAGGAGAGGGGGTGTGACGCTTCCATGCCTTCCCCGGGCGCCCCACCCTTCAGGAACCTCACATGCTCTGCTCTATGGAAGCTCTCCGAACTCCGTCCTCTTGGGCCTTTCATGGAGACTTCATTGGATAGGCATGATGGAAGCACAGACAGCCGCGTAGAAGTGTGATTGAATAGCTGGGCGCGGTGGCTCACGCCTGTAATCCCAGCACTTTGGGAGGCTGAGGCTGAGTGCTGTAATCCCAGCACTTTGGATCACCTGAGGTCAGGAGTTCAACACCAGCCTGGCCAACAGGTGAAACCCCGTCTCTACTAATAATACAAAAATTAGTCGGGCGTGGTAGTGCACACCTGTACTCCCAGCTACTCGGGAGGCTGAGGCAGGAGAATCACATGAATCCGGGAGGTGGAGATTGCCTTTGATAATCCATGGTGACAAATTTGGGCAGTAGGGGTAAAACTGACACAGAACCCCAGCCAGGCACTGTGGCTTATCCCTGCAATCCCAGCACTTTGGGAGGCCAAGGTGGGAGGATAACTTGAGCCCAGTTCAAGACCAGCCTGAACAACATGGCAAAAGCCTGTCTCTACAAAAAAAAAAAAAAAAAAGCAAAAATTAGCTGGGCGTGGTGAGCCAAGATCGCGCCATTGCACTCCAGCCTGGGCAAGACTCTGTCTCAAAAAAAAAAAAAAAAAAAAAAAAAAAGAAAAAAAAAAAGAAGTGTGATTGAACAAAAAGGGAATGATCTAGTGTTGACAGACTGAGTGGGAAACCCAGCAATGCCTGTCTGCTGAGATGCTTGGTCTCTCCGTGCAGCATTCCTTCCTGCAGCGTGTGGGGCAGGACCCCTCTGAAGTGGAGTTTTACGACCTGCAGTCATGCAAGGTCAGTCAGAGAATTTCTTTATGGACAGAGGCAAGGGAAGATTAGAATATATTTTTAGGTGCTAAGGCCTGCCTTGGAGAGAAAAAGGAGCAGTTGAAAAGAAGGCCGGAGGAGGTCTGGAAGAAAGATTCTGTTTTCCGAGTCCCGGTTAGAGGCCTAACATACTCCAACCTTATAACAAAACACTGTAACAAGGGCTATGGGGGTTATGAGCCAGGAACTGTGGATGAAAACTGATATATGTGTGTGTGTGTGTGTGTGTGTGTGTGTGTATGTATATATATAATAAGAAGTCAAAACTCTGGATATTTATGTAAAATCCCTGATCTTTAGATGTTAGCAGCTAATTACTTTGTTTTTCAAGAAACATAGTGTGCGCCAAACCTTAAGCAACCGTGGGATGTGCAGGTTTTTATTTCTGGCCTAGAGGTGGGAGTAGAAGGGGGCCTAGAAAGGGAGGGTGTAGAGGGCTAGAAAGGGAGAGTAGAAAGGGGGTAGAAAGAGAGGGTGTTCAATTCATGTTTGCTGAATGAATAACAGATGGAATGCATTGATTTTCCTTCTGCTTGTAAGGAAAGACTACCAGGGTCCGCTAAACCAGCTGACTTACTGAGAGCTCCCACCTGATGGGCAACTGCTGTAATTCCCCTGATAGGATCCAGGCTGGAAACATTTTGTCTGCCAATTAAAAAGAAATAATTAAAGTGTCTCACCAATCAAAAAAGATAATAAATGACCACCAGGAGCTTCTGCTTGCCTGAGATGAGAAGAGCCACCTTCTTAAACTGGTATTATTCCAGGCAAAGTAAAGAAAATGGAATGGTATGGCTCCTTCTGGGACTTCCAGGGTCCTCATGTTCCCATACAAGATCCGGATCCGGTCCATGCCCATCTTGGGTAGAGCAATGCCAAGGCTGATCTGATCCCCAGGGTTGGGTTGCAAATGACGTGGGGCCAAGATTGCTCCACTGTCACAGGGACAAGTCTGTGACACAGGGATACGCCTTTTCTATATGAACTATATTTTGGGTAATCACAAATAGTTGACTAAAATTTTTTTTTTTTTTAAAACATTAGTTTAAGGAATGAGGAAAAGAAGTTGTTTTATTAAAATTCCTGGCTGCGTGTGGTGGCTCACACCTGTAATCCCAGCACTTTGGAAGGCTGAAGTGGGAGAATCACTATGAAGTATTGTAATTAAAATTTTGAATTCAAGTCGAGCTCTCATGACCAATTTTCAGGAAATAATGTAGGTAAAGGAGCATGTATCATTCAAATCCTATACATGGGACATCCTGTAGGACAAATGACCTCTCCATGCTCCCCCTACTTAAAAAAATAGACTTTACTTTTTAGAGCAGTTTTAGCTTCACTGCAAAACTGAGTAGAAGGTGCAGAGATTTCCCACATATCCGTGCCACCCCACCTCACGTGCACAGTCTCTCCATTATTAATATCCTGCCCCAGAATGGTACATTTGTTACAATTGATTAACCCATGATGATGCTTCATTATCACCCCAAGTCCACGGTTTGCATTAAGATTCACTCTTGGCATTGTACATTCTATGGGTTTGGACAAACGTGTGATAGGTACCCACCATTATGATATTATACAGAAGGCTGGGCGTGGTGGCTCACGCCTGTAATCCTAGCAGTTTGGGAGGCTGAGGCAGGTGGATAATCTGAGGTCAGGCGTTCGAGACCAGCCTGACCAATATGGTGAAACTCTATCTCTTCTAAAAATACAAAAATTAGCCATGCGTGGTGGTGTATGCCTGTAATCCCAGCTACTCGGGAGGCTGAGGCAGGAAGCTCGCTTGAACCCAGGAGGCGGAGGTTGCAGTGAGCCACGCTCGCACCATTGTGCTCCAGGTACTGCAAAAACTGGGTATGCTATGCAGAACAATGATGAAACTAGATCATGCAAAAAATTCAAATCAAAATGGATTAAATACTTAAATGTAAGACCTGAAACTATGAAACTAGTAGAAGAAAACATTGGGGAAATGCTTCAGGACATTGGTCTGGGCAAAGATTTCTTGGATAAGACCTTAAAAACACAGGCAAACAAAGCAAAAATTAACAAATGGGATGTAAATCAAGCCAAAAGGTTCTGCACAGCAAAGAAAACAATCAGCAAGGTGAAGAGACAACCCACAGAATGGGAGAACATATTTGCAAACTATTCATCCAACAAGGGATTAACAACCAGGAATATATAAAGAACTCAAACAACTCAACAGCAAAGAAACAAATAATCTGATTAAAAATAGGCAAAAGATCTGAATAAACATTTCTCGAAAGAAGCATACAAATGGCCAACAGACGTAGGAAAAAAACTCAACATTCCTAATCATCAGGGAAATGCCAGTTAAAACCACAGTGAGTTATCATCTCACCCCAGTTAAATAGCAGTGATC